AATCCTAATAAAGTTTGATATTAAGGACGAATACTATTAGATGTGACTGCGTAGAACGATGCATATAAACAACTTCCTATTCTCTTCCTCAACGTCAGATTCTCCAAATAGAAAATTCAAATTTCTTAGATTTTTAAAAAAAGGTTGAGTAACTGTACAAATGTTTCATTTGCATTTGTTTGCAATCCTCAAATGAACACTGATAAAGGGGTGTATATAAAACATCAGTAGACTGATTCTTAAAAAAATGTTTTTTTCAGTTTAATAAAAACGAAAGACACAATGTGGTGAGATAAACACTGATTCAAAGTTATATTAAATAAATTAACAAATGAAAATAGTGATTTTTATGTCGTGAGAAAGAAATCTGACCATCCGCAATCATTTCACATAGGAAATTCCCCAAGCTTATTATCATATCAACTAAAATCACACATCAAACTTTATGGTTAATTTTAATCTTGATATCGCCGCACACAATAAATATTTGGTCTCATGTACATTTTCCTAGACACTGATCATTGAATAGTCCATGTTATCGTTTGTTTTTAAAGTCCCGTTATATTTTTACGATGGTACTTTTCCTGTAGTCCTAATGATTTCAAAGCACTATTCACCGATTAGCACTCGCACATATATTTCTTTACTTCATGTAATTAAATCAGTTGTAAAAACCAACTTCATTAGTAATAAATAATAGTTGTTGGAGTTTTCTCTATCTCTTTGCTTGTGTATGTGTGTACGTGTGTTTCTAAATCTTGTTTTTCAAAATTCATCAATACTACTTAACTGTAATATCGACGAATCAACGTTTGTTCAATTGTTATCCCAACGGATATTAATACTGGGTTTTATTATTTTGAAAAATATAGAAAACGGTGAACAAAGCATTAAAATATATAAATAACCTCTTCAATTCATACGGATACCATGATTTATTCTACGTTTTCAACATTCTCTACTGCTTCCTTCTCTCTTCCAATTGTTTACCAAATAATAACGATTACAAATTGTAAGCACCAATTTTTCGAATATTGATTTTGTTGCTTTACAACAATTTGTTTACATTTAACAAATTGACAATAAAAAAATATGAATAATGATTAGACTTTATTATTCATTCTTGAGTTTTATACATTTAGCTTTGACACCTTTCACGGTAGGTCACTCATTTCACAAACAGTATATAAAACCAGATAGTCTGTTCTGTCATATTTCTATACATTTAACAATCGCTTGTCAAATTGTATGTTCTAAATAATATGTTTTTTCCAACCTGTAAAACAGATTTAATTAAGTCTAAGATATATAGAAAATCGAGAATTCTTTCGGTAGGTGTTCTTCTCTTTCTTTATTACTTACTTACGCCCGTTACCAATTGTGGAGGAGCATATGCTGCCTACCAGCACTCTCCATCCAACTCTGTCCTGAGCAATCCTTTCCAGTTGCTATTCATTCTTTTCATGTCTGCTTCCAATTCCCGACTCAGTGTGTTCTTTGACCTTCCTGTTTTCTGTTTCCCTTAAGGATACCAAGTTAGTGCTTGTCTCGTGATGCAATTTGGTGATTTCCGTAATGTATGTCCTATTCACTTCCAACGTCTCTTTCTAATTTCCTCTTCAGCTAGAAGCTGGTTTATTCTCTCCCACAGCAAGTTGTTGCTGATGATATCCGGCCAACGGACATTGAGTATCTTACGTAGACAGCTGTTTAAAAATACTCGTACCTTTTTGTCTCCAAGGTTCAGCTTTATGCAGTAGAATTGTCTTTACGTTGGTAGAAGATTCTGACTTTGATGTTGGCTTGCAGACAGTTGTCTTGAGATGGATATGTTCTTCAACTGTAGGAATGTAGCCCACGTTTTGCCGATCCTTACCTTTACGTCTGCATCGGATCCTCCTTGTTCATCAATGATGCTTCTCAGATAAATCTTCCGGAGTTTCTCCACCAACTGTGATTGGGTTGGTGTTCTCCGTGTTGTATTTGATGATTTTGCTTTTTCCTATGTGTATTTTGAGGCCTACCGATGTAGGGGCTGTTGCTACACTAGTTGTCTTCATCTAGATTTGTTCGTGTGTATGAGATAGAAGTGCTAGACCATTCTTCCTTTATTGATTAGCTATAATTTATCGGTTGATGATAATTACTCTTCTCATATGTTATTCAATGTAGTCGAAACTTTTAAAGTAAAATGCTTTCTTTTTTAAAAAAAAGTGAATAACTAATTAAAACTACTTTTTCGTAATCTAAACTGTAATTTCAAGTTTTTAAACGGTTAATTGAGTAGTAAATGATGTGTTATATATTTTTAAATAATGGCTATTAGTAGAATTCAGGATGTTGGTTTTCTTTACTATTTGAACTCATCACTTGAAGTAGCCTGCATCCCAGTGTTGATATTTACCCTAATACTCAACCTACTACCAATCTCATGAAGTACCAACACATTATCCACCAAGCTATTGATTCACGACCGTCACGAACTTGTTCTATAGCTCAACTTGTTGACCCAATGGTTAACACGGCGGCGTTTAAATTTATGACTATTCTGTTAGTTTCAGTGTCAAAATCAACGTGGTAATTTAGGTATTTCCAACGGATGAATTCGAAATAAAACGAAACCCGCATCTTTGATTCTAGGACTTATTATTATTATTATTATTATTTTCACCATTAAAACAAGAATTATCAGCACCAAGTCTAAATCACCTGATCATATTAAATTTCCATTTTATTTTACTAGAAATAATCAACAAGGGAATTGACTAAATCCAATTTAATTTTGATGTATTAAAAATTTCATTTTCTGATACACGTGAAAAAATTAATCATATCAGTATTTTCATAATCGGTACAATTTCTTACCGTATATATCACTAAACTGTTACTGTTTTTCATTCTAATGTTAGGGGGGTATCTCATACATGTTGCCGATTTCTCGGTAAAAAGTAGCTCGTAAATTGATTTGATTATGTGATATATAAAAATATATATTACAATTGGTAAAAACATCCTAGTGTATGGTAAAATTTTGAAAATATATTTTAAAGTAGTAGGTTGTCGACGTCCAGAATCTAGTTCAAATTAATCCTATTGTATTTCAAGCACTTACTTGACATTTACAATTGATTGATCACTAAGTAGTGACCAATGCCATCTATGTCACGTTCTTGTTGATGACCAAATTCTATAGATCAAAATCTATCCTAGTCCTATTGGGTGTCAGTCGTGGCCTGAATAGCTCAGTGGTAATGTCTCTGACTGAGAAGCTGGACGACACATGATTGAATCTACTAGGGAGGATCAGCTCTCTCAAAATTAAAGGTACACATTACTGACTGGTACTAAATACCTCAAAATCGATGTCCAGTGTTTCCTGTCGGGAACCTCCAACCACCACTTCAATTACCCAACATGTTGAATATCCTAAGCCACACTAACATTAATGTTCAGTATATTCGCTAATTTGGTGCATATATGTATGTATATATATACTCTTAAAACTCTTTTAAACCAAAACTGAGTGCATCATCTTGTCTAAATTATGCTGAAAAGGAACAAAATGTCAAAACTATTTAATAATTGAGGTATTAACATGTGATAGTTATAGTTTACCTTTTTATGTATTTCAGATAATTTCCTTCTAGCTATTAGTAAATTGATTATTATCAGTCCAAGTTAATAATGTAGTAATTAGTAACTGATGATATAATGGATAAACATTACACTTCGTTTTAAATTGATTATTAATGTTGAAAGTATATAAATCAATTTTCGATTCTAGCTCAGTGGGTTGAAATGGTGCGGAACGTAATAGAAAACTTGATAAGTGTGGTATAGAGATGTGATTGAAATAACCGTGAAGAGTTTTCAACCAGTTCGTAGCCGATTTCAAAATACTTTTTTTAAGTGGATAGTTTACGGATGAGTAAACAACGTGATGTTGCTTGATTACTTGATTAATCTATTAAGATCTTCTACAGGCTACTTTACCTCCAAATAACAAAAAGCAATGACATATAGATTTGTCCATACAGATATAGATTACCCATCTTTGCGAACCCTTATGGGGACCCAAAAATACTCATAGGAGCCTCTAAACTGTCCTTAGTTAGGGTTAAGTATTTAAGGATAAGACTAGAGGTTTAACATTAGTGTTTTCATCACGAATCGACATCAGCTAGCATTCGAAAATGCTTTGTAGCTGTATGAATGAACAACTTTCTCTCGAAAATTCATCAGCCACTATCTTAAATCTAATTATTCGGTCTATAAAGTATATACCCACCAAGTTATGGTTTATATTAGGGTCTGGAGAAATTATCAATTTGCCTGTTATATGAAGTCTATAATAGTAAGAATCGAGTATTTAATACGTTTAACACTATCGTTTGTACTCTACGATGACACAAAGTAACTTTTCATTCTCATTTTAAACCTTCTGAGCTCTTTACAAAGGTATCTTCACTACTCACTTGATGTTGACTTTGGATTTTGCTCGAAAACCTAAAAGTTGTTTTCTCGATTCTGATTGACTTGTCCCTATACTACCTTACTACCGAAAACTGGAATATCTCAGGTTTGAATATTTCATAACGGTGATAGGCATACAAACCAACTGTCCAATAACCACTGATTCTTAATTCGAAAGTTGTTATCCTATGATGGAAATCATCCATAAAAGTTTATGACTGAAGTCATCAGTCTGTTGATCTTAACCGATATATATATATATATATATATATATATATATATATATATATATATTAGTTCGAAGCCTTGGTGTATGCAGTGAAATCTTGGTTATATTCTCTACATATGCCTTAAAAATTCTTTAAAGTAATATACGAACCAGTCTATCTTTGAATAAAACTATGGTACTATTTCCAATTCATGACACATATCAACGTAATTATTAACAAGATGAATACAACTAGTAGAGACTTTAATGAAATTCACTTCTATGATTTCCTTGTCCTTTCTTCCTTTATTTCGTACAGATTTATTCGTGGTATGGCTTATGTGAATACGGTTGTTCTAATAACCGATAAATATATACACTTCATAAGGTAAGTTTTGGATTATATTGAGTCTTCACTATTTCACTTTTTTGTTGAAATTTCTGACAGAATAGTTTATATTTTTGATAATTTCTTTAGACAATGTTAAATTTCACGTGTGTTCACGAATCCAGTTATTTGTAAGTTAACTACCGACCTATCCACTGAAGAATCAACACGTGCCATTAATTATAGTTATTTCTATAGACCTATTCAAAAGAAAGTTGAATCGGTTGAGAAACCTCCACCTTTAGGATTAACATGAACTTACTAGCCTTCTGTTCTTCCTAAATCTAAACTAATTACATCTTAGTTATTTACTAATATGTCAGAAGAATGAAGTTGAAAGTTCATGTTTGACGAGGTAAGGGAAAATATACGGTGATACTCAATAAACCAATAATTTCTAATCAGTATTCAAAATACACACACGTTTTCAAGAAACTACGTTAAGTGTTGAGGATACGTTTTCTGAAACTATTATTTATATTCACTGAGTTTATCATATATTTGACAAAATATAGTTTAAATAGCCTTCGGTTGTAAGAATTATCTCATAGACCTGCTGAAACAAACAAATAAAACCGCATATTGAAACTAAGTTGTTTCTTTACAATTTCCAATTTCAAAAATAATTTGAAATCATGAATCAGTCTAAGTTAAACCGCTATTGAAAATCTAGATTTGTTGGATCGTCGTTTCCTCCTAGTATGCATATCCATGCTTCCGCACGCGAAAATTGAATGCATTACCTCCGATCTCGTGAGTGATGCGTACCGTTGAAGAGTCCCATACTAAGAAAAAATCCTCGTCCAGTCCTTCCATATTTCCAATCGTGATCTAACTTGAATCATTTCATGATTTTAACCAAATTTAACAATCTCCACAACCCTATACTGAAAATGTAAAAATTTAGTTTTAAACTACACTTAATGGATTGCATCAAAATATTGTATTGGACTCTACTCACAAAAATGTTTGTAAGTAGTGTTATAGTGGAACACGGCGTCAAAGTTGCAACAATTGTTAGGCGGAGTGAAGAGTGTTAGTGCATCGAAAGCACGGCGTTGCCAGAACACTCGGAGACAGTTTAGATGGCAAAAAACACTGAATGATACAATTAGACGATTGAAGGCTATGTATTATGTATTATGTAAATACTTTGTAGCTTATCGCAATAAACATACATTCCTCCTGCATATTGTTTTGTTTTACAATATAATTGAAATTAATGCATAAGTTAAAAAAAATTTTCATAAAGCTAATCTCTTGAATTCTTTTAGTTGATTACCATCAGCCTAGATAACTCTATCAGTTACCAAATTCCATTTTTTAACAAAATTGTTTCCTATGTACAATCTTACCATTTCATTCCTATTTTAGAACAGATTTTATTAACAGAAATAATCGTCCAGCTTACATTCGAATACCTTTGTTGTCAATAGAACGACTTGAGTTGGGTAAGAATAATGAAGAATATTTTCTGTATTTATATGTAATTGTGATATTATCATGTAACTAGATCGACCACTTGATGGTCGCCGATTTTATATTACCGTACTTTAAGTATCGAATAGATTCCATATATCAGGTCTAAATCCTAACTAGTTAATTTTTAACAATTTCTCATGAAAAGCCAATAATACAGTTCAATAAAGCTTTTTGTAACTCGTTGATCTGACTCGATTCTTGATAGACTTATGAGTATGCTACGAAACATAGAACTTCCATTTAGCTCCGTATATTACCTAGGCTATCCCTGTTTGCGTAACGGTGGTAGTAAGAAGCCAAATACGACTTCTGTTGGATGAAATCATTTCAAGCACTCGTTTATTCGGATAGACATTCAGAGTGAAAAGCAGGAAAGTGAAGCGAAGCAGAGAATCTGAGTGAACCAACTCGATTTGGTAAAGCGTGATTCGATATCTATAACCAGACAAAAATAAGCTACAGAAATGTGATGAATAGAATAAGCAATACACACATACATACGTTCAAATATAAACAGTCAAGATTAATTAGCGAATGATCAGCAAGGTCAAAGTGTAACTCTTGGAAAATAAATAAACTGGTCTGTTTGGAATCTGAGATAACCCATGTAGGCTTGACTTAATGCTGGACACTACAAATTGATTTAGAAGACACAAAATGAAATAAAATTCACTGAATCTCTCAATGTTTGTTCTCGTTTTACGAAAGTTTATCAAGGGAACTAAATTGCATGAAAGAATCGAAAGTAATCTGCCGATTTAGACATTGTTACATGTTGCAAAAAACTGAATAAGTTTTAGGATGAAGGATTTATATAGCTTAAAAGTCAAACTAACTTGTTGATTGATGTGCATCTAGTTCAAGTCTGTTAATGTCTTCATGGTCCTGGATATGATAAACAAGGAACGGAGCCTCACTAGTTTTCTCTCGACTTTGATTTTTAATCTTTGTTGGTCATTTGTTTTCTAATAAGTTACTTCATTAAAAAAATACTGGTTTTGATCCCCTAATAAATTTTCATTCCGTTAGTTAGTATATTTTTATTTCAAAATATGTTTATTAAGACTATCAGTTTGATCGCCTCATTTTAAGTTTACAATCAGTTAATTATACCATTAGTACACTTAGAAATACAAACTTGATCATAAGACCACCTCAATTAAAATAGCAAGGTATGCCTATTTGCGAACCTAAAATAGCATTGACTGGATTCATAATTTTCTAAATTTACAAACCGAATATCATAGGACACCTCATCAGTGCAAATTCAAAATCCCGCACGCGAGAATCCTAACCATGACCTTTGATCTCCAGGACGAAAAATCGGAAGTTCCTGGATTTGATTCCCACTTATTCACATACGGATCTCCGTAGGACCACAATCAAGACAAACGCCTAAATTAAGTTACTCACAAGTAACTTATTGTCAGATCAAATCATCTGACCACATTCAAACCACTTGATACCATTTCGATTAGTCAAATCCCTTACAGTGTAGTATTAATGGCAGCATTAGCACTAAACAACATTACCGACTGACAGCATAGCTTACTCGCTTTACCAATGACATTTGCAAATTGGCCTTTATTCATTTAACTACTAACGTTCAATAAGTAATATATGTCACTATATGGTCAATTTCTCTTTTTTATTTACAGGGATTTAACACTGTCTGAAAAGGCTATGAACCAAACTAGCCTTTTATCATTTTAAGTTATTCCCACAAGTTGCGTTAGAACGAATATATTTAGAACAACTCAGCAATTCATACTTCTATATAACAAACGTTTAGCATATTTTCAAAAAAAACTATGTTTATCAACTACTCTTATTGGGTCATTTGATTTTATTTGTTTTCGCGACCATTTAGGTACATGTTGAGACACCCTAATTTGGAGATCACCATTACTTGTCTCTATGTATATACGGTCACATACATCTGAATTGATAAATACAGTGGGATGTGACGAAATCATTTTCATGTCTTTTAGGTTTTTAGTGAAGCATGGACCTTGTTTTTCTTTGATCATGACCTTTGCTGCGTAGTACGTCTTGTTAATAACTTATTTAAACCCTTTTTGAATAAAAGGCTATTTGATTCACTTCTAAACGGTAAAGCGATGTAGACAGGCCTTTTTTGTACCAAGGCTATAGTAGGTCTCACCATACCATGACCTTTCCATCGAATTATAAATTTTAGAGGATAACCATTTTCCACTAATGTTTTCTTCAACTACGTAACATCGTCATCAATAGCATTGTTTGTGCAAATAAGATTAATCAATCCAAATAAGCCCCTTATCAAACACCGTTTGTATTACACTGGGAAGTAACTATGATTACTAAGGTGTTGTCCTGTCCAAGTTGGCTTTCAAAAAATGGATCGTCTGATTGAACCATCTCGTTTACCTAGAAGTATATCTAAGAAGGGAAGCTTGTTGTTCTCCTTTTTACATGAGAGACTGGTGTGGTTTCGAATTATGTTATGTTTATTAATATTCTCCTTTCTTCCACAGATAACTAAGATATCATCCACACATCTCTTATGAAGAGATATGTTTTCGATTAGGTCTTCAGCTAAATTTGCAACAAATGTCATAAACACATCTGCTAATAATGGTCGTAACAGACTAGCCATAGCAATCTCATCTATCTGACTAAAGCATTCATCTTCAAATGTGAACTGGACTTTGTCAGTACATAATAGTAGCAAATCTTTAGGAATTTTTAAAGGAACAGGTAATTTAAGGTTGTTCAAAGATATGAAGTCACATAATTTAATAATGTACCTTTGAAGAAGACTTTTTTCAAAAGGCTAGAAGACATGAAAATAATTTCGTCACATCCCACTGTATTTATTAATTCAGATGTGTGTGGCCACACATACATAGAGACAAGTAATGATGATCTCCAAGTTAGGGTGTCTGAATATGTACCTAAATGGCTGCGAAAATAAATAAAATCAAATGAGTCGATTACAGCTAGACCACCTTAGAAAACCTAGAAGCACTGGACGGCCGTCTCGTGCTAGTATGGGACTCCTCAGTAGTGCACACCCACGACCCCGCTCGCGGGATTCCAACCCAGGCCCTTCGGTCTCGCACACGAATGCTTAACCACTAGACCACTGAGTCGGCATCCAACTATTAAATTACTGCAATCTCCATAAGACCTCTTTCTGATAATAATCATCATTCGCTCAGTAGTGACTGGCTTCAAGAGGTATTTCCTGGAGTTCTAGTGGGAAGCCGTGACCAGTGGAGTTCAACCGGGTCTGTTGTGAGGCAGTAACTCAGTGAAGGCAATGGCGGACGGTGGCGCAATTTCGTGAATTGCTTGAAGTTAGACATTAACACCATCCGATGCCGGTTTAGTGGTCTAGAGGTTAAGCGTTCGCGCGCGAGACCGATGGGTCCTGGGTTGGAATTTCGCGAACGTGATCGTAGATAAGCACTGTTGAGGAACCCCATACTAGTACGTAAGCGACCGTTCAGTGCTTTCAGGTTTTTCAAGGTGGTCTAGCTTTACGAGACTCATGAATTCAACTATTAAAATCAAATGACCCAATAAGAGTAGATGATAAACATCCATCATCCTCTATGGCCAAACACAGTTAAAACAGGTCACAAGTTGGATCTCAGCACAGCTTTTGTGGTGCTGTACAAAAGTGTTAAAAGGCGTATACTAAGGTTTATTGAAACTTTAGCCATACGAAAATTCAAACCCCCTTAATGTATTCAAAAACAGTTTGTTCTCACCTTAAACCTACCCTGATTATATTAGCTTATTACACTATCCAGATAAAAATCTATTCTAAAAACTAAACATTTTATTATCAGATGGACTTAGTTGACAAGTTGGATCTGAAAACTTATTAACCTGAAATTTCCAACTTTGATGAGTCATTTTTCCCATTTTTCACATGCAATAAGCATGAATAATATATATATGGAAAAAATGTCTATAGGAGGATAGAAAAGATTACATCATAAACTGATTCTTCCTTACCCCTGGATTAGTACCTAACCTCATTTAATATTTAGTCTCGTGTGTGTGCACATCTTATCCTACTCATCACATGTCTGTAGCTTATTTTTAATCTGACTGTAAATATCGATAATCTCACTATCACTATTATTCACAAATGGTTATATAGCTTATTCATTATAGTTTGTTTCTAATTCATCATTTCCCATGGAAATATTGTTGTTGTACCAGTGAAGTGATCTTAGAACATAATTTCCAGCTTATAGTACAGTAAATCAACGTTAATGATAACTCAAGCGATCTCAATGCTGGTGAGGTAGCTGTTTGACAGTAACCATTTGTCACTAATTAATTCTGTGTTCACTTCAGCATTAGTGTGTGTACACTAGGCCAAAACGTGACGATTTAGAAATCTGTTTTCAGTATAAAAACTACACGAACAATTGATGAGATTTCGGGAGACTGTATAAGTTCCTTTCCATAAGACTGGTAAGCGAAGTGCACAATATTGAATGCTGCTATCCCCGAAATCAGAAGAGATTGCACTGTTTCTAATCCAGCGTCCTTTAACCTTCGCATTCAAGAATTATTGCCGTACTTCGGGGAATTGCACTCATGATTGTGATGAACATTCCCACGAACGACAGTCCAGTAATCTTCAATAAACTTACAAAATATGAAAGTCGGACATTGAGTGTTCATTGAAGTCCCACAAGAACAATATAATAACACTAATGGAATTACCTCTTTCCTCTAACTGGCTGTGAGGATCCGCTAGGTGTTCTTCGGCCATTTCTACAACATACAAATTTAATATAAGGCTGCTGATCTCTATGGAAATGAGAATCTCACACCACATAATGGCATAATCGGATGAAAAAATTTTTAAATGGGGTGAACAGAAAATTTAAAAAATACAAAAACCGCCGTGCGTTTCTTAATGATGACGACGATAGCAATAACAATAATAGCGATTATAATAATGGATTTGTTAAACAGAGAAGTAGGATAATAAATACAAAAATATCTTTCTTATCCAAAAACTGAAAGCATAGTCGCTATGATATTGAGTATTCATCAGGAAGATCAATAACGATCACTATCTATCAAAAAAAGATTATGTGGTGTGTTATGATAAAATATTGAAGTTGATGTGACCCATACTTAGAAAGAGCATGAAAACAAAAATAAGTCGGTTGGGAGTAAATGGTTGTTGAAGATAGGAGGGAAAGTGATAGCTTTGGAACAAAAGTGGAAGATTAAGATCATAGTAAAAGAAGAGGTTGGACAAGTTTCCTTTTTATACATAGTCCTATTTTTCCCAGATGTACACCAAATGCTTCATCAGTGTTAAGAAGATGGAGGTTCATTGTTCTTTTACTTTGTAAATAGCTTTGAAGTCGGTGGTTGTTCACAAGATGTTCGATTGTGGAGCCTTTTATCTATTCGTTTCCGCTTATTTTCACCTAAGCCGGATGTTTTTGAATTATCTTAGATAGAATCCAGATTGAAATACAAATATACCCAGTTCTATAGAAGCAAGTGGATTGATAAATAAACACATTATACAATTGTCACTGTCATTTTAGATTAGGTAATGTGGTATCTGTATTGACTTATTACATCGAAATTTGTATAAATTATTATTATTATTATTATTATTATTATTATTATTATTATTATTATTATAGGATTGGAACCAGCTATTTTTCGACCAAAAAATTTTGTTTTGAGAATATTTTATAAAGTTCCAGATGAAAATTCAATTCAAAAGTCAACTTCTATGGATATGAATTCTCAGCAAACACCTTTTCAACCGTCGGATTTAAATTCATCGTTACTTTTGAAGGAAATCGACTCGTCAAATATTGCTGTAAGTTATACATGTTGATAATGGTTTGTTTTTATCATTTGAAAACTTTCGTCCGTTTTCTTAAACTCTTTACCTGTTTGTTTCTGTCAATGTTGACATTTTGAAATTTAGCGTTGTTTATATTAACCAATTATAAAGTTATATTAGATATATTTATAGGTAGTTATTGGTTGAAAATTTTTATCTAACAACTGAATATGAATGTGTTTGTTCAGTTCTCATGCGTGAAAATAAATCAACAATTTTAAGGAGTCGATTTTATTCTGAAATGGAACTACTAGGTTAATGCTTACTAATGTTTTAATATTAATTTCTAGTTTATATCAGTTCGTCAAGACTATTATTTATAGACGCTCAGTTTAGTCAGTCTCAAAGACAAACCATTATCATTTCCTTTTAAATCATTTTTTAACATCTAATATTTTGTAAACCAATTATTATCCTCATAACTTAGATCGCATACAAAAAAATGTACACAAAAGTCACCTTTATAAATTATAAAACCTTTATCCCAGTTCATTTTTTTCTCACTAAGGCCTAGCTCATTTTTTATGATTCTTGATAACTCTGTAGGATAAACGTATATTATAATCATGTAAGTTTGGTCAAAATAGAATATATGCCAAGAAAAGAATGATCGATTGAAGACCTCAGCATCAATGGGAAGATTCAAGCGGCTAATACAAGCCGGTGGCTAAGTGGATAACGCGATGGCGTTCGAAGCGAACGGTACTGTGTTCGAGTTCCAAAATGAACTCCAACTTGATGTAGGTACATCTAGAAGAAAACTCCCAAACAGGATGAGACGTGCATCTTGAATTCCATTGTTAGCCACCATCCAACTATACCTATAATAAATTGTTTTGTTTAGAATCTGTGAATTAATAACTCCAGTGTTCTAAACTTCCGCTCTAATTTATTGCGTAAACATTTGTTTTACT